AAGAAGAATAGGCCATTTGAAGGATGAAGTGACTAGCTATAAGGAAAAAGAAGATACGATGACAAGGCTCAAAGATATGATGCCAAAGGAAAAAAAAGTCCTATGAATTATAAAAAAAAAAAAGGAGGAATTTGATTGCCAAGTAAAACAATAGAATGAAGATCTTAAAAGTTTTGTGCTTATGTTAGATTTTTTAAATGTCATTGTAATGATAAAAATTAGTAGTTAGTAATTTCAGTGGTTAGTATTAGTGGTTAAGATGTAGATGTTTGTGGTTAATGTGTTGTTTTGTTTTGTCAATCTAATGCAAGTTTGAGTTTAAACTCAATTTGGTACATGTTAACATAGACACATTATTGACAAAAAAAAATAAAAAAAAAATAAAGGCTTTTAACTTGATTTCAAAATGCAAACATCACACAAAAAAATAAAAAAAAACATAGACTAGATTTTTGATTCCAAAAACATCATTCATGATACAAAAAACATCATTCAAAGTACAAATTAGTGATTTGTCTGTAAACATAATTCAAAGTACCAACTTTAGTTCAAATGATATTATCTAACATTTCACATTAGAGTACATCAAACTAAATTGCAAGTTCACCAAAACACATCATATAATCCAAATTACTTCATAGAATAAATAAAAAATTCATAAAAATACAAGATTGTCTTCAAAATACAAATTCCACCTAAGACTTGGATGCAAGATTGGAACCACCAACAAATTTGGATGCAAGATTGGAACCACCAACATACGTAGATGCAGAACCACCAACAAATTTGGACTTGGATGGAGAATCACCAACAGACTTGGACTCACTACTAGAAAAATAGGTTTTAGTGACGGCTAAATGACGCTTTAATATGACGCCCGTAAAAAAACGTCTCAATAACAATCTTATTGTGACGCGTAAGACAAAGCGCCTACAGACTTGGAATGTGAGACACTTAATTTCAGATTGTTTAGCGTGATAAAATTGAGCCCCCTTTAACAATAACATGAGTGTTAACTCTTGGAGATGATTTGCTAGCTTAAAAAGCAATTGTATTTGTCATTATTTAATATGCACATTATTTTGGGAAGGCCTTTTAACCTGCAATTATCCCAAATAAATTTATTAAATACTAATTCACAAATGACTATAATTATAAATTAATCATAATAAAAAAAATAATAATAATTGAAACTTGTATTTTTTTTCTTTCTGTGGTGGCACACTTGACACGGAAGTTTGAGTGGCCAAGAATTCTTGTGAAGCTTGAGGGGCCAAGAAATTATGTGAAGCTTCAAATATAGACTCATATTGTTGGTCAGCTGCACCTCTAGTACCGCTTTGATTTGCTTGAACTTGTTCAACTGCAGGAATTTGAGTTATGGTTTGTGCCCCCACATGTTTTACATTTATTGTTTCTTTTAATTTCTCTCAATCTAAGTGAATTTGCACCTGAGGCAGCGGGTTCATCAGGATCCCGCCTCCTTAGCCTTTGAGGCCTGCCAGTTTTTTCAATATAGTTTGGAGGCAGGGAGGTTCTAATGCACTTTTGGGCTACAACTCAGGTCCATTAAAGCCTAAGATTGAAGGCTCGTAAATCGGTAAATATGTCTCAGCCTTGTAACAACTATGTACATATCATTCAGGCTCCTCATTTCTAAACCATATTGTTGAACATGCATGTTTAATTTACAAGGTATGCCACTCAAATCCAGTTTCTACAGCTACACTTTCTCTCCAACAAGTCAACAATGTGTCGGTCAAATGGACCAATAATCTAAAAATGGTAATCATCACATTTCAGGTATACACTCACCAGCCTCCTTCATAATCTTCATTAAGATTTGAGACACAAGGGACCTTCCTATTTTGCAGTTTTTCTTTGTTAAATTGCATGCATCCTAGTCATTAACAGATTTCTAATAGTTTCAAGTTAAGAAATAATTGGGTTTTCTCTTGCGTCAAGAATGAAACTATTGAAACATTCACACATATTGTTCAGTACGA